ATTACTCGATTCCCTAGAATTGAAATCATACACAGTTTAGTCTAAATTTAAGCACCACATAGAAACGGCCACAGTTCACGTCTACTTCATAATCAGACGACCAACAGTCGCACAAAGATTAATTCTAACGATGAAGTTGCAAATTTAAAAGAAAAAAAACACGAACTATTTCTCGTTATTTTTTAACAAAAAAAAAACGTAATTATGAACAGAGAATTATAACGAACTGAATAACAGTCAGAAATTGTCCTAATCTACCTGGTTAGTATGGTTTGTGAATGATGCAGAGACAGATTTCGTTCCACTTACCTGAAGTCCCACTGGGGGGTGGGGAAGTGGTGAAACTCGCAACGCACGGATAAAGCCAAGATTATTTCATGAATAGTGAAAGCACCTGAGAGAATTTCGGCTTTCCTCCCTCTCTCTCTCTCTCTCTCTCTCTCTCTCTTCAGCCTGTGACCAGCATCAAGAAAAAAAAAATAACAATCAAAAAAGAATCTAACGTCTCTTTATTTATTTGTGAGGTGTTTGTATGGCGGCAGCACTGGTGCTAATGTACAATTGAGTGAATGTTTTCAGCACCACGGTCAGCGCAACTTTATTGTATATACCCTCGGCGGACCACGTGATCCTCCCCACCGCCACCCCCCAGCTGCAGGCAGTGCTGACGTCACTTCCATTGATAAGAATGTTGGTGTGGAGATGGCACTGTGAGTCTAGGCTGGCCCCAGCTGATGAATGAACGGAAATGGCATGAATGAAATAGTACTTTTCCTCAATGAAAGGAGCAAATTGTAGAGATAGAGCTGGTACACAGCCATTTTCCTTCTCACATATTAAAGGGTGGTGTGTTGCATCTTCCTCCCTTGTTGCTTCCTTCCTTTGCTCTGGCTTGTTTCAGAATCAGGAGAAGAGTGGGAGGGGAAAAAATAGAGTGACCTCTTTCACAGGCTATCAATTAGGGTCATTTGGTGACATTCTCCCAAGAATCAATGACAAGAGGCCGATGTCTCGCCACAGTTTGCTTGTTGGTTTTGGTCTTAGGTGGCCCCGGATCATCTGTAGCTCATGGGCTACGGCGGGAGCAGCCGCACTTTGCTGCTTGATTTCTTCTCAATTTTCAGGGATTGCACAATTTTCTACCCACCCCGTCATTTCTAGCCGCTCTCCATCTGTCAGCGGCTCAGTGTGCTCTTAATGTGGCCTCTCATCAGCATTGTTTTGCGCCACGGAGACACGAGCCAATGACCATTTGTACATAAATCAGTAACATTTCACGATAACGGCAAACACGTGCTGAAGCAATATGTCATGATTATATGCATGAATGAATGCGGGATGTATCATGAATTCCTGCTGTTCACCATTTCAGGAATGATTAAGTGTCTGTGTGTTTATGTGATCAGGCAATTAACTTCATACATTAATTTAGTTGATACCGTTAAATTAGCTGGAATGCAGTCGCATGCAACAAAAAAGTGCATTTCAGACCCACGCGTCCAATGGGCCTCTGAAAGTGGAGCCCATATGCATTCTCATAAAAACACAAGGCTATTTTGTGACACTGAGAAGCGAAGACACCTACGCGTTGCTGTAAGATCCGGCAGTCTTTGTTCACGACACAGGATGCTGAGGTGTTTTAATGTGATATGTTTCTGTTGTTGAAGTGGAGCTTGCTCCAGCACATACAGCTAGTGCCAGTGGACAAATCGCTGTAGAATGGACAGACTTGGTTTTTGGGATGATGATTCAGTGAGATGGACCAATATCTTACAAAGAATGGAAGGAAATTGCTTAGTCCCAGGAATTCAGTACAGTTCAGAAATGGCTACAAAGTGCAGCCGTCACAAAGACAAGAGCAGTTTGACAAAGATGACAAGAAGAACAGATATTTATATACTCGATGTGTCCTGCATGGGCATGTTTTTCTCGTGGCATTCGCAAGATATAAATGTGCAACAAATTTCTCACTAGCACAACACCCCATGACAATACATAGTGCTCCGTTTGTGAGAAAATACAAAATGCAGTTTTTAAATGATGATTTTATTTCTTAAGAGAAAGAGATTTGTGCGAAAAAGTAATTCCATCTCCATACTTGTTAAACCAAGAATTAACTGTGATGAACCACTTTTCCCTCTCTTTTTTTTTTTTTCACTTTTACTAACCACACCCAGGCCTGATTACTGCCAGCCCTGCTGAATTAAGAAATCACTTAAATAGAACATTTCTGACAAAGTGAAGAAGACTAAAAGATGTCAAGAAAGCAGCACATCAAGGTCGAAAGAAACTGGGGAATTTCCCATTCCAATCAGTATAGAAAGGGTTACAAAACCATTTCTAACCCATTAGGAATTCAGCAATCTGTAATGAGAGCCTTTTCCTTTGGGATCAATAATGTATTCTGATTCTGATTCATGGTGAATATTCCCAAGAGTGTCCAGCCTACCAGAATTACTCCAAGGGTGCATCCATGACACATCCAGGAGGTCACAAAAGAACCCAGAACAACATCCAAGGGACTGCAGACCTGACTTGCCTCAGTTAAGGTCACAGTTCATGATTCAACAGTAAGAAATGCACAAGGCTAAAATGGCCCAGTGTGGCTGAATTAAAACAATTCTGCCGAGAACACTGAGCAAAGACTCCTCCACAGCGATGTGATAGACTCATTCACAGTTACTGCAAATACTTGGTTGCAGTTCTTGCTGCCTAAAATTAGTTTGATGATCTGAAACTTGTAAGTGTGACAAATATGCACATACACTAAGAAATCAGAAAGCCAAACCACTGTGCATACAACAGAAATCTCAAGATCATGTCAAAACAGAGTAAGTTTAAACACTACAGAAAATAAACATGTTTTTTTTACCACTAGCAACAATTTTCATCCACACAACTGTCATTGTGGAGGACTTGTGGTGAGAAAAATGTAACTCGAGATGTGTGCGCTGCTATATTTAGATGACCTGCGGCACAAAAATGCACAACACGAGGACTGATACCACACTCTATTAGCAGCAATCAAGAAGGCAATCACAAGGAAGTGGTGTGAAGAGGACCACCCTACTCTGGGTAACTGACCGCACGTAGCTGAAAAGATGTACACTTTGAAGGACTCTCACTTGTTTTGTTTTTTGGGCCACTGTGAATCATGTGAAGTCTGCAGAAGTTACACTGATGCAGTTTGGCCTCTGCGCCAAAACAGTTTAGGGCTCTTCCTACTATAGGCGAGAGCACAGATCTGACAGGGGCCTTTTCAAAGTGTAACTGGATCCAGGCTAATTTGGTGGCATATGTATAAAGCAACATTCATTAACTGGTGATTCATTCACGGTTAACTAATCACATAAACCTCTCAAAAGTGACCAACAGGGTGTCATGAGACAACCTGCATTAATGCACGACTTATTAAACGATAATGACTCATGCATTAGTTAAGCACACTGCACTCTTAGCAAAAAAGCTTTCCATTATCAATACTAAAACAAGAAGAGGCGTAGCATTGCAGCACTGTCTCCCAAAAGGTTTAAACCTCACTACCTCTGCCTGAAACATGAGGATAAGAATCAAAGCTCTGTTAGGGTAAACAACTCCAGGTGGTAGAGGAAATGTTTGTTCTTTTTTTCCAGCTTCCATTCAACTTTATTTATTACAGAAACAGCTTCCACTTCCACTGTCAACCAGTCATTCCCAAGGTCTGCCGTAATGGGGCGTTTTTGTACATAATGACTCAAGGGCAGATAAATATAAAGTTATTTCTGGCATTCAGTTTTCCTGTTGTTTTGAAGGTAAAGGAAGACACTGCACTGCTATTACTGGCATTTATGTGCCGGATAACGTGGAAACAAGTTGATTCACAACGTTAAGCCAACCTCATTTCCATACACTTCATTTGTCTCTGACAAGCCCCTGCTCTGGCCTTGTGCGCCACTAAATTCAGCTGTCAGTCCTCGTACAGGTTGGGTTTTCACTGCATTAAGGCTTGTGCATGTGTTTATGGGTGTGTTTTCTTTGTATGTGTGTCTGATTCATCCTCGCGCTGTACGTTCAGTTAATCACAGACAGGGGTTTGGTATTTTCACTGATGTTCTGAGGTTAATTGGATATTAGCAGCAGATGTCACATGTGGCCAACTTTATCGAGCAATTATCGAGCTTCCTGATTCAAAATGTCTTCGTTATTTTTACAGACAGAGAATTGCAAATATTATTTAGAGTCTTGAAAGTCTTCAGTCCTGTAATTAGCTGAATTTTCTGCTCTTACTCAGAAATTAGTCCTGATCTCCTCCAGATATCTAAACTAATACGGCACAAACATTTTTACTTTTCATGTCTTTTTTTAACTAAGTGAGTAATTACTCACAGGGAAGGCTGGAAAAAATAAAGTCAGCGCTTGAATTTAGTAACTTGCCAAACCTCTGACATTTCCTGCATGTACTTAGGGGGACTTATGAGTAGGGCTTTTGAATCACTTGTCACTAAAAAAAAAAAAAAAGCCTGTTTCACTTCCTGAATATTCCCAGCATCTCTTCATTAAACATCTCTGGTCAGGTTATATAAAACAATATCAAGCAGTTTGGTTACACTTTGAGTTTTTTCCCTAAGGTAGCAAACATCTGGCAGTCAGTAAGGTCCAGATCATTATGCTACCACCATGCTCACAGTTGGGATGAGGTTTTGGTGCTGGTATAAAGTGCAGTGTTTTATGAAATTTAGGAAATTTGTGCAGCAAGTCTTTCTTTGCTTCCTCACATGCAGGGCCAGCCCATGGTTTTATGGGGCCTTGGGCAGAATTTGATTTTGGGCCTCCACCCCCAGCTAAACCCGTTGGCCACATCAACTATACTAGCACGCTTGATTATTTGTGTGTATGTTGAAAAGGTGTCCAATAAACCAGGAGACAGTGGAACTTACAAACAAGTTAAAAGCAGGTTCAATAGGGTTGAAAGGTAAAGCAGGTCATCTGCTAATATTAAAGTTGATGGTTCAATCCCTGGAGGCTCCAGACTGCATCCTAAACATACTTGGGCAAAATACTAACCCCTAAGTTGCTCTCCGATGCATCCGTTGGCGTGTGAATGTTAGACATGTTGTATCAAGCACTTTGAGCGCTCAGGTAGAACAGGAAAGCACGTCATAAGAATCAGTCCATTTAAAGAGCAGAATGACCACAAAGAATTTAACATAGGCTTGAATATTTTTATTTTTTTAACATAACAAATGCAAATGTAAAAACAGACAATATTAATTAATTTGAATGGAATCTAACTAACTAGAGAGCTAACAATAGTTTGCTTCTGGTTTCCATCAACATCACCACACCTCACCTGAGCTGAACGCTTGTTTGGAGCTTCTCATTTAACATTATTGTTAGTGAAAGTTCATGATAAACACCTAACATGGACCTTTATTCATGGACCTTT